CGTTACGTTAAAATTTAGGATGATCAGAACCAAACTTGTATTCAGAATTTAGAAGAACACATAGAAAATATTACAACTATCTGCTTCCATCCTGAGTTGCCAATTATACTGACTGGATTATAGGATGTCACTATAAGGATTTGGCATGCTAGTACATACAGGCTTGAACTCGTCTCATCTCTGGCTTTGATAGAGTTTGGACAATTACATCTACAAAAGGTTCTAATAATGTAGCCATTGGTTACAATGAAGGTAGTGTAATGCTAAAAGTTGGCTGTGAGGAACCAGCTGTGTCTATGGATTCTCTTGGTAAACTTATCACATATGCAATAACTTTCATGTTTCATTGTAAAGATCATTACGCTTAGAAAATTTTTTATATATATAGGTGTTAAAATTGTATGGGCAAAACACAGTGAAATTCAGCAGGTCAATTTGAAAGTACTTGGAGAAGAAGCTCAGGAAGGTGAAAAGTTGCCATCAACTGTCAAAGATATCGGTGTTTGTGAAATCTATCCACGAACAATTCATCACAATCCTAAAGGAAGATTCGTCGTAGTTTTTGATGATAGCTTATTATTTATACGTTTACAGGCTTGAGAAACAAGGCTTTTGAACAGGCTTTTGAAGTTGTCTGGGCTGCAGATTCGAGCTAGTATGCTGTCAGAGTTTATCATGCCGATATTATAAACTGAGCCAATACCTGAAGGAGGTAGTTTTATAAATTAATCGCTATAACTTCTAGATAAAGTTGATAAATACAGTAGAATTCGTTTTTTTAGTTTAGGTAATAGCTCTGCTCAAAGATTATAAAATAATCAGTACGGTCTTCAGTAATTGTATACGAAGTGGATCACTTCAGGCTATTATTGTTTTCTGAATATGGACCAATGAATTAGAATCTTTCACATCTAATTTTGTGGAAAATTCATGCACATGTATTGGATCATTTACAAAAGCAGCTGCATATAATAGAGTACAAGGGAGAATGTTAATTTGCTATTTTCACAAGAAAAAATATGCAATTTTAGGTAAAAACTCTGAAAAAATGTCTGAAGCATGTGCAGTTGATTATTGTAATAAAGATTAAATGTTTTTAATTTTAAAGGCCATACAGAATTACAAAATGTAAAAGACCATTGTCATTTATTATGGTATTTATATGGTATTTGGTCTGGATAGTACAGAAGCTTGCAAACTAAATGAATTTTTCATAGCAAATTGTATACAATGGCGTTAAGACTGTATTGGTTCACGATGAAATGAAAATTACTCACATTAATAGTAGTACATATAATGTGATAATATTGTATGGCTTGAATTAAGAATTAATCGCTGTAATTTATATTTCTGTTTTGGAACTGAAGAATGAATTGAAAAGATATTTACCAGGAATGATTCTGTACTGACGAAACTTTGGCTTCAAAAACTCAATTTAATTGAAGATTTTCTGTACTCATGGATAATATAAAGTAAGTTAAGGTTTTAGTTACATGAATGTTGATTCTTTCTGGCATTGTTTTATAAATCATAGTACTGTTGTAGAGTGAGTTTTAGAAAAGATGATCCGGAAATGAAAGAAGATCATGCAGCTGCTAGATACATTACAGAACAAATTAATGCTGACAAGCCATTTTTAACATCCATTTGTCTAAAGGACTATGGAGTTTCAACTTTGAGATCTATTGTCAATGCTATTCAAAAGCTGGATCTCAAGAGTCCATAAAATGAGCACCACATTTGGTCAGTTAGTAATAGGGCCACCTGGCAGTGGCAAAACAACATACTGCACTGAAATGGGCAAATTTCTTGAGAGTTTGGGTAGAAAAGTAGTAAACATAAATATTGGTGAGTTAGTATTTCTAACTTACCATTAACTACTTTTTGCTATATTACTTAAGGCATATATTTTCTTTTGTTTTTTTTTTTTTTGTTAAGATCCAGCCAATGAAAATATGGGGTATAAGCTAGCAGTAGATGTTTCTGAATTAGTTATAGACGAAGAAGTTATGAAAACTTAAAAACTTGGACCTAATGGAGCTTATTGTATTGAGTTTTTAGAGAAAAATATTGAATGGTTGATTAGAAAAGTTCTTAATTTCAAAAACCACTACCTTTTGATTGATTGCCTAGGACAGGTAATGAACAGATATTACTTCAGTTTATTTCTTGGAATTTAGAGCTATTATTTTATTCCTTGAATTACTATGATAGGTTGAACTATATATTCATCATGAATTTATGAACAAAATTACTGAGAAATTGTCTACAAATTTAGCAAGACTTTGCCGTGTTAATTTAATGGACTCACATCATTGTAGTGATCCAGGTGAAATACCTTTTCATTGCATGAATATTTATGTATTAGTAGATATCAAATATTTATTATTATTTGCAAGAAAGTATCTTTCTTCATTGATGGTTTGTACGATATTCGTGGATAATTTCATAACGGTAAAGTGTAAATTGTCATAAAATAAATGATAGATTTTGCAATTATTACTGAATATATATACATACTTCCTTTGCAGGAGTCAGATGAGAAATATAAATTATTAATCTGCTTTGATGAAACTAAAAAATATCTTTATTTTAAAGAAGTTGTTGATATATTTTGAAAAGATTTAAAGTAGAACTACCAGAAGATTGGAATGTTATAGCTGTTGTAAGACTTCAATGCTCTAAATAAGTGACGCATCCGCAGGCTGGGCTTACAATATGACATGATTATCAATGCTGTTGTCTGTTGTATCCGAATGATTAAAACCACCGATTTAGCAACAGCTCTGCTTTTTTCTTCTCACACTTTTCTTTTTCTTTCCTTCCTTCCTTGTTCCAAATTCCCTTGTTTTTGCACTCGCTAATGAATTTTTATTATTTAAAGTCTCGTTGACGTCCGACCATTAATCCATCAAACGGACAGTGAACCTACCGAATTTCTAATCAAGCTTTTTTAACAGTTTTTACGCAAAACGAAGATGAAATATCATTGTTAGCTATTTTAAACAATTCGAGTAGTATGTTACTTGATTATGTTAATTTGAATGTAACTAATGAAACAACAAGACAATATCACTACTATGCTGAAATTCCTAAACATTTTACCTACAAAAAATCTAAAGTTGATGGTCAAATGATTTCGTCATGGCAAGCTCGAAAAAAACATGTTAATTGTATAGGTCGCATGTATTCAGTAAGTCCAACTCAAATTGAATTATTTCATTTGAGATTATCATTACTTCATATAAAAGGTGCTACAAGTTTCGATGACTTAAAAAAAATAAATCATGTATTATATCAATCTTTCACAGCAACATGTTTAGCATTAGGAATTATTGAAGATGACGATGAATAGAATAAAGCTATGAGAGAAGCTACATCGTGGATGATGCCTAGACGACTCAGGCAGTTATTTGTTATAACAACATTTATTTGTTGTTATATTGATTTACTGTCAACCGATTTTTCCAGAAAAATTATGGGAAGCCTTCAAAGACTCAATGTCTGAAGATTTTTCGCGTTACAACGAATTGAATATTAGTTATCAAATGGCTTATTTAGAAATACATGATATGTTAATCAAGGAAGGAAAATGCTTAGCTGACTTTCCAACAATGGATCAAAACGTCATTACTAACATAGTCGATAATATTGATATTATTAACATACATAATCTATCTCGAATTGGCAATGAACAGTATGAAAAACTAAATGCTGAACAAAAAGTAATCGTAGATAAAGTTATTGAAGCAGCACGTTCAAATAATTATACTGGCTCAACTAGCTTCTACATCGATGGACCTGGAGGATCTGGAAAAACGTTCGTTCGCACTACAATTTATAATCTTCTTATGGCAGAAAATATCAAGTGTTCTACAATGGCATACACTGGCATTGCTGCGACATTGCTGCCTAATGGAAAAACAGTATATAAAACATTTGGTTTAACAGTTCCAATGTTTCATGATTCTTCTTCGAATATTAGAATACAATCTAATGAAGGTATAATTTAAAAAAATAGTACAGTATTTATTTGGATTAGAAACGCACTAGAAATAGTGAACAGAACTTAATTTACAATATATCATGAACAATGATTTACCATTCGGCGGGAAAATAATGGTTTTAGGTGGTGACTTCAGACAATTACTTCCTATCAAAGTACATGGAACGCGTAACGAAATATTAAATTTGTCTATTAAACATTCTCAATTGTGGTCACTTTTTTTTCGAAATTTCAATTAACAACTAACATGAGAGTTTTACCAAATGAACTTGAATTTGCTAAATATTTATTGAATGTCGGTAATGGAACATTAAATGATCAAGATAATAATTTACACCTTCCACAACGATGCATACTGCCTGCCAATGAATGCATATTGTTCTAAACATATTTGGCGAATTGATAAAAGACAACAAATTTTGTGAAATTAGTCATTGCGCTATTCTATCTGCTAGAAATGTTGATGTAGATGATATGAATAACAAAATTACTGATTTATTAGATAGATACTGAACACATATACACCGGCATAGACAGCATCGACAATTGTGACAACGGAGACATGGCAGAAGTTCTTTTACCGGAATAACTTAATTCATTAAACCCATCTAACTTCCCTCCTCATAAATTACGCGTAAGAAAATTTTGAATTGTTATGTTAATCAGAAATATTAGTCTCAGTGAAGGATTGTGTAATGGAACGCGATTACAAATAATGGACTTTTAAAATCATTTATTAAAATGTAAAATATTAACTGGAGATAAACAAAATAACATAGTTTTTATTAATCGCATTACATTGTATTGTGAAAATCTCTATCTCTTCACTTTTAAAAGGCGACAATTTCCAATTCGATTAGCTTTTGCTATGACGATAAATAAATCACAAAGACAAACTTTAGACAAAATTGGTATAGATCTTCGAAGAGACGTTTTTAATCACGGTCAACTTTATGTAGCACTATCTCGAGGAAGATCGCGGGATTCATTAAAAATATATCTAGGGAATCAAAGACCAACTTCAGTTGTTAAAAATTATATTTACACAGAGTTGTATGACATTAACTATTTTTATACATTAAAAGATTGTAATTTTCAATACTGTATAAGCGATAAACAATTTTAATTGAATTTATTTAATTTACATTTAATTTACATTTAATTTAATTAAATGGCAAGGAAAAATTAAACTACATATTATAGGCTAAAAATTAATTAGATTATTTTTTCTGTGCTGCAGCAGCTTCATCTTCACGCTGATACGATTGTAAAAGTTCTTGTTTCTTCGAGGCGATACGCTCTGCCCGACGCTTCCGTGCTTCTCGGACTTTAGTTCGACGAGCCTCCGCTTGATCAGACAACATTTCTGATCTAGCTTTTTCAGCCTTCTTCTTATGGATAAATTCCATAAGGACTCTTTTATTCTTAAAAACATTACCTTTCGCTTTCATATATAACGTATGATAGAGATGTCCGTCAATTTTTTTTGTTTCTCTGTATTTTTTGAGTAAGCGACGAAGTACTCTCATACGCTGAATCCACAAATCCTGAAAAAAACATTCCATGATTTGTATCCTGTACACTTATTTTTTTCATTTATTCATAGACATGGCTTTGTTTAGTTGCTCTTTAATAATTTACAGTTATTAATGTTAATTTTATCATGAAAATGGCTTTACTAAAAATATATGCAAAATAATTGAAAAAAAAAAAAAAAATTTGATTGTGAAATCAAAATCAAATGCAAATTATAATATATTAAAATTCAAAGGAAGCTTCAATTTAAAATCTTTAGAATAACAGGGTTATAATTATTGCAGTATGTAACTTACTTTTTGTGGAGTACGGGCATTGGCAGTACCTTTCCTCTTACCAAAACCACAGTGACGACCTTTACGCCTGGCCTCAGTATTTTTGCGTACCCTAGCTCTAGAATGAACAGCCACAGGTTTTTTGATGATCAAACCATCTTTGATCAACTTGCGAATATTTTGGCCTATAAATAAATTGCATTTATTTAGGTTTTAAACGTAGTATTTTATACTTGCTCCTAGCATGAAATTATCATGTGATGAACTCACGTGAGTTGGTGTTGGCAATTTCATTAATTTCGTTAGGGTCCAACCAAACTTTTTTTTTGCCACATCTCATAACGGAGGCGGCTAGCCTTTTCTGCAGTTTTAACGAACTGGGAAGAAAGGTTATATTAATATTGCTCGAGCGTGATACATGCAAAAACAATGTGTAACCGATACATAATTGACACAGACCAAATGAAGTGGCGATTATTATTAATATAAACTCTTTAGAAGTAATTGGTGCAATTGGAAAAACTAGTTTTGAAAGTGTATAATTTTGTGAAGTACACCATGTGGTATCATATGAAACATCTTAACGAAATATAAAAATAAAAGCATTTCCTTCTGGAAAGTACTTAGTTTCACATGAATTAGAATGCTGACAGTAAGCTTTTCAATCAATTACAAGGTTGCACATCATTGTTTTTATGAAAATTTTTAACAATTTATAAAATGAAATACCTCATAATGGCAAGTCCTCGAGTCGTCCGCAATAAAGAAAATTAAAATGGTTGAATCCAGACTTTCACTTTTTCCTACAACGCAAGTCAAAACTTGATGTCAAAGGGCGCGACTTTTAAAAATTACTATGTAGATTGCGTATGTGCATACATGATATCGCAATATATATATTTTTCTGAAAAAGGGCTTATCATTTTTCATAAACATACTATAAAATAGCAAATACTATATAATTATATGTTTAATGAGATGTGGGAGGTGAACGTTAATCAATAACTCTCTATTCTTTTCATAAAAAGTCTGTATCCAAAATTGATTACTTGATAATGATAAATTATTACCCCGGTGCCTATAAACATGTTTTAGAAAATCCCAGTCATTCTTTCAATTAGATTTTCAATTAGATCTATTAATAGTTGATATATAAGAACATAATTTTAATAAGATTAGAACTTTAGAAATGTTACACATAAAAATTAACCATAATGTTATTAAGAGAAAAGAAAATACTTTAATGTTGTAAATTAATAATAGATAAGTAATAGAATATTTTATAATAATACAAAACAAAAAAATAGATAGTTCAATTATTCGTTAATGCTCATGATTATAGTGAGCCTCCGTCTCTTAAATGTCTATTAACATATATATAGATTTTAAGATAGTATGTATGTTAGCGGTACCAACTGTAGCAATTACTATCTCTAGTCAGGCTTTGCACCAACTAATTTTGTGCATAACTTTTATCATATTGTTGGAGATGATATTAATTTGGAATTGTTACTTTACTACTGATATTTTTAAATGACATGTAATTATTAGTGGGTTAATTCTAATTTTCATTACGCCATCATAAATATATAGATAACCGTATTATTAAAAAATAATTTTATTTTTAATAAATTTAGTTGCCCGAAGTGTCTGACAACATAGGCAGTGAAACGTTGGAAAGAATAGAAAGTTGTTGATTTATTTAAAGGTTGACCTTTCCCATCGCTAAATTTTTCTTTTTTGCATAAACATGATAGAAGATTGCTGCAATGATAATAATGGCATTTATTAATTATGTGAGAAATATTAGTATAGTAATTATTTAGTTCGCTGATGTTGTTGTGCATTTCATACTACACACACCAATTTATTAAGATTCTGAATAAGTTTTCGCGAGTCTTTTTATACGTAAGTCTACGTGTGTCGAGTATCAATTAATTTTATGATGCTCTAAATAAGCGATGATATTGTTCTGAAGCTACTTCGTATTTAGTACAAAATTGCTCTTAATTCATATTTTAATTCTTAGTTCTCCTTTTTTGCTTTAATATTTAAAAATGTCACGTTTAAATAATTGTTTGCTAATTGATATTAAAAACAAGTTAGTTATGTTTAAGCAGGCATACTATACTAATACTTTCTCCGAGAAATACTTCTTAACAGATTTGGTCTACCTATTAGCCAGCTCCAAATATATAGTAATTACAGTAAGCCGTGAAATGAATATAATGACTTTGCAGGTGGAACTGCAGTTATTATTTGAAAAAAATATGAAAATGGCTATAACTCGTAGCGATAAACCTATTAACTTAATTACCTAAAATAATATTCTAATGTTGGAAGGGATTTATTATTAAGGTAGCCAAAATGCCGCTTAATTTTCGAACTTACAGCAATCGAAGTGTAATCGGTAGAGTACAAAATCTTATTCATACGCGTCGTTTAACTCCTGTCTGCGTGATGCCTAATAGGTTTAAACCGGACTCGCGAAATATCTTCATATCAGACTCAACTTCTCGCTCGCGCTTTCCATATATTATAGAATAAAGTAAAAAATACAAAATTATAGAGTGAAATAGGTTTAAGTAATAATGAATATGTTTAGGTAATTTAAAAAATATATATAAATTTTATATATTTGGAATTAATAATGAGTAAGGTGTTCAACTGAACTACATATTTTGAAATATCGCAGCACACTGCCTTAAAACAAAAACGCTTTCGTCGACTTGCGACCTTCTCACTCAAGCACCAGAACTCAACTCTCTCTTTCTCTTGAACAGCTCTACTACCTAACTTATAGTTAACGCCATCTAGTTTTCTTTTTAAATATTAATCTTGATTAAACATAACACATATTATCATTTTCCAAAGCTCAGGAGCACTCCTATCATCGTACTAGCCATTATCTGCAGCATCCCGTACACGGCCTCGTCTACCTATATACAAGGTGTCAAATAAGTAACGGAACAAGGCTGTAGCTTTTTAGGTAAAGATTATTAGACCAAGGTCAAGGTCATTCCTTTAGTAACTTTCAACGCGGAATCCGATGGTGACCTTGGATTTGACCTTAAGATGGACCTTCAAGGTTATTTCAAGGTCAACTTTGTTTTTTTAAATGGGAACCCCTATTTTTGACAACGGCAATCGAAAGAGCGGAAAATTTTACGTCCAAAACGGTATTTTTAAATTTTTTTTCATGGCCTTGAGAAGGTCGATTTAAGGTCAAATGCTTGAAAAACTGCCTAAAAGCGTTTTTTTAATTTTTAAGATATCGAAAAATGACCTCTACAAAATTTGTTCAGAACAGAGTGGGCCACCCAATGCACCAAAAACCTTTGACCTTTAACCTCATTTTGAAGGTCATTTCAAGGTCGAAGTGTTTTTTGTAATGGAAACCCCTCTTTTTGACCCCGGATTAGCACATAGCGCGAAATCCGACGTTTGGATAAGGTATTATGTTGAGTTTCGATTGATTCACGACGTTCATCGCTAAGGTCATATGAAATTTAGATCCAATATTATTCGCGAAACATTTACAAAATGTTTCGGGCTAAATTTATTAAATTCTACTGAGAGCATGTTACAGTGACCTTATCTTTGACCTTTGATTGTTTGAATAATAAAGTAACGGGTTATCCAAACCGAAAGTCAAGTTGTTTTAAATGAGGAGCAAGCAGAGACATAGGTACAGTTTTTTTGCCGGATAAGTTTTTTCCACTCACTGCGTTTTGAATGTTTCTTTCTGATTTCGTGCTATATGCGAATCCGGGGTCAAAAATAGGGGTTTCCATTACAAAAAACACTTCGACCTTGAAATGACCTTCAAAATGAGGTTAAAGGTCAAAGGTTTTTGGTGCATTGGGTGGCCCACTCTGTTCTGAACAAATTTTGTAGAGGTCATTTTTCGATATCTTAAAAATTAAAAAAACGCTTTTAGGCAGTTTTTCAAGCATTTGACCTTAAATCGACCTTCTCAAGGCCATGAAAAAAAATTTTAAAATACCGTTTTGGACGTAAAATTTCCCGCTCTTTCGATTACCGTTGTCAAAAATAGGGGTTCCCATTTAAAAAAACAAAGTTGACTTTGAAATAACCTTGAAGGTCAATCTTAAGGTCAAATCCAAGGTCACCATCGGATTTCGCGTTGAAAGTTACTAAAGGAATGACCTTGACCTTAGTCTAATAATCTGTACCTAAAAAGCTACAGCCTTGTTCCGTTACTTATTTGACACCTTGTATACTTCGAGCACGCAGACTTGAAGAAGTGAGCGAGAAAGCGCCGTGCCAAATGGCCAACTATAGATCAAGAGAGCTTCGCGGGCATCACAGACTTTTATAGCTATTTCGTTGCTGTTGTTTTTCTATACCTTTGTGTCAATCTTCAATCTACACTGATCCAAGGTATTTTGAATGCGGTGTATGTTTTTTCACCGATAAAAAAATATATATCCTAATGAACCTGATCAATTTCAACCCTACTATGACTATAGAGGCACGGATTTTTCACGGAACCATTATGTTATTAATTTAGTATTCATAAAATTTAATTGTCAATTGGATGATAATTAGAAGTTTTTACGTGAGCGCGATTACACAAATTGACGAATAAAAAGCAGTCCTAATATTTCAATATATTATCTTTATATCGAAACATGGGACAATTGATTCATTATTTCCGTGGACTGAAACGTACAGACGATTGATAAAATATTTGCTTTTATCGGTCCCCGCTCTGTGTGCATTGTTATTGCTAGCAAGTCGCCTTCTTCGTATGTATTCGGCTCTTTGCGATGACGACAAATTGGCATCCTATCTCTTCTGGAGCCTACCGAGCACGATTTCATTTTTTTCCACTTTTCTGTGCTCACGCATATCTCCAATCGTATTTCACTTTTTTAAAATGTACGTGCTTCCGAGATTGTCCCGTTTCATTAATGAAATTTATCAATGACAAGTCTATGCGGCTCAATAAATTCAAATTTAAGTAAAGAATTTGTTTTATTGTTAATAACTTTTGCTGAAAATTTTCAGACAAAATATGTGGCAACTTTAATGGACGAATCGCCAATTATATTTAATAAATCCATCTACAATCTTTCGCTGATTATTTTCTTTTTAATTTTATTTCGCGGACCGATGTGGTTTAGATATAGCATTCCATATAGTATCACCTTTCAACACTTATTTTGGTATTGAATAAATCTTAATTCTTTTCTGCTAAATAGCTGTCGTAGACCTCGATAATAGCCTCTTTAAAATTTAGAATTTAGACATAAACAACTCGATTTAAAAATACCACTTAAATTAAAAAAATTTTACTAGTTCTCCAATAACGTTGACGAGAAAAATTTCGCAAGTATTTAATGGTATAATTATTAGACTTGCAGGATGGCGCTCAAAAGTATGCGCGGCGACACTTCAAAAATCCTCTATATAAGAACAACCGATATATTTGATTCGCCATCTAAAGCAACGACAAAGATTGTAGAAAGAAATAACGTTGCCATCGGTCGTGCGATTTTCTGGGCCAATCATCTTATTATATAGACGTGTGATCTCGATGCCAGCATTCCATAAAATATAATTAAATGCGAGTTTCACATTTTCATTAAAAAAAATTAACTTGTTAACAAAGACAACTAACTTTGCGATTAAAGTTCCAAATTTTGATTTGAAAATTAAGTATACTTGGACTTTTTATTTAAACATTGTACTTATCAAATGGTATTTTGACTTGAAAATTATTATTGAAACATTTAGTTACAATTTTGATTCCAGAATTATTTGATTTGGAAATGAAATGACAAAAGCCAGTAAGTACTTACTCGTGAATTTTAACTTATAAATTTTACTTTATCAAGAGAAACATACAAACCAAATTAGGAGAAAATGACTGTTTGGTTAATGTCCGAGAATAAAAAGACTTTCGTATATGTTTTGGGTTGTTTGGGACACTATGGATAACTTTAATTCTAATTATATCTTAAACCAAAATTTAGCGTAAGTTTGAGATTTGTAGAAAATGTTTTGATCGAACACATACATAAAATTTATAAGCTGTCCCTTTAACCACAATTATCCAAAACAAACAAAAAATCGATTGAAAAGCATTTGTTTTTACGAATTCAATATCAATATTTACTTCTGTTCAGACGTATTATTTTCATTTACCATTCAAATTATATATTCTATTTGACTGTTTACAAAAATTTGAACTTGAGCCGCTTGAGCTTGTTAGAGCTGTTAAATAAACCTACTATGTAGTCAAATTGTAGTAAAGATATTCCATGAATCACGTGGAAAAATTTTAATTGTGACGAGAATTATCATGATTTCGAATAATCTGATCACCACAGAAAATACTTTTATTGTAAAAGGCTTTCTTTATGAGAAAATGATTTCCTTCAAATAATTTATTGAAAAAGGTACTTACTGTGGTTAAGATACTGTTTTGCAAACTTATAATCTAAATAAGCACTTATATAGGTGCTTATGTAAACTAGATTTCATTGAGACGTCAACTGTATATTCTCCTTGCTCATATGAGTTTTCAAACATTACCTTGATAAGAATGGTTTTAGATTTCCCGCGTATTAATTCGATATAACGTATATGTGCTGTGCATCCCATATATGAAATAAGCTGCGGACAGTTGGGCACCTATGCTACGTGTCTATTCCATGGAATAAGCGTTTTGCAGATTTGAGAGAAATCATAATCTGCATTCTGTACGGTCTGGTCCGTCTAATCGTATCATATCGTTTAGGATCGTTGAACATTTTTTATTGAGTTGTCGAAAAATGCAGAGAATACCTACTGTTTTTTCCAGGAATATGGCTCTTTTAAGGTAATATAATTTTGATTTTTATCATTGTTTAGTATGTAAAGATATAGTTATTAATACGTTATGGAAAAGAATATAATTTTAATCTCCCGGCTTTTTCCGTCTTGATATACGTTTTGCAGTATAAGTAGAAAATATATGGAACCTTAACAATGAACTATCGCGTAGATAGCTTAAGTAGAAAACAAAACACAGCCTCTGCCAAATCGATTGGTCTCATAAACTTTCGTAACGAAGCAAACCTTTTTTAGACGTACTACATTAGTTGTATCTCACGCGATGAACTTATATAACGTTTTTAAGATCCGTAGGTACCCATCACTTGCAATAGGTTTTATTTTTCGATTTTTTTCACAACATTTTTACTAAATTTATAAATTGTTATAACTATATCTTTTTTTCAAGTCAAATAAAAATGACTGGTGAACGAGGGTCTGGTGCTGGTAGAGGTGGTGGTGGTGGTGGATCCATTCGTGACGCTGGAGGATCATTTGGTAAAATGGAAGCTGCTCACGAAGATCAGTACTTTTACAATTTAGTATGTATAGTTAAAAAATGAAAGGTCGTCATTAATAGATGTGGTATACAGTCTGCTTTGTTTATTTATTTTCAGCAAAAGGAACAAATTTCAAAATTAAAGGAAGGTTTGCATGATGAAATCTCATTCCATGAGGAGCAAATCAAACGTCATCAAGAAGCAATTAATCGTCACAAGAAGAGAATTGGCGACATGGAGAAAAATAAGTAAAAAGCTAGCTCTGTTACTTCATATGTTTATAAACATTCTTTATCTACTTGCAATGATATAAAATCATTGTAAAAAATTAATGAACCATTTTGTGCTTTTTTCAAATATCACACGTTGTAAGTAGAACTGGAATAAAATAATTTAATTTAAATATCTATGCTATTGTCGGTTAAGTGTTAAGAACAAGTTATGGAAACTGTTGAAAATAAACAGAAGAAACAGATATATTTTTGATTTGTTTCATTGTTTTATAAAAATAGTTTTACAAGAATTTTTTTATTTATCTTTTGTTCTTTCAGCTGAAGGTGTTGACAGAGATATAAAATGAATTTTTTATAAAAAAATATGAAAATTAATGTAGAACAATAAATTTACATTAGAAAGAATATGAAATCTTAAATATTGGTTAGAAAAACTAGAAGCAAGATTTCCATGTTTTTCATAATTAATTTTGCAAATCACGAAGCTTTATTTTTTCAATAAAATAAACAGACAGTTGAAATACGAGAAATTTTGTGAGTGCAAGTGGAATTATTATGCTGTCCAAACATCCAAATCCAAACATAAATATCCCAGACATAAATAGGAGCCGGATCGGCTGGAGGCGGCCATATTGAATTTTATTCGCCAGCCGATTGGTTGATTGCAGGCATGGAGGCTATAAACTCCATGATTGCAGCTATGACGTCGCTCAACACATATATATACGCGTTCAGTTCCATGCAAGAAGCGATCGTCGAACAGATTTTATTTATTTATTTCATGTGTATATTTTTTTCCAATTTCTAAACGTAATCCAAACGTAAATAAGAGCCTAATCGTCTGGGAGTGGTCATATTGAATTTTGTTTCCCAGCTGATAGATTAATTCCAGACGATAATGTTGCTAAGGGAGCTTACGCGATCAGCTCTACGCAAGAAACGATCGTTGAATAAATTTTGTTTGTTTATTTCATGGGTATTAATCTAAAAATGCCGATTTAGTTGAAGAGCTAAGAGCTTTTGCCGGCAGTTAATGTGGAAAAATTTAAATATAATGGTTTTCGCGTATTTTCATTACTCAATTTCTAGTTTTGAAGGGGATATAATCATTTTCAAATTTGTAACTTTTGATAATAATGTGTTTACAGAAACTTATTACCATTTGAAAAATTAATTACTTTCCGCCAATTATTAAGTGTTAACGTGACTTTCAGTTTTTGCAAAAACTAAATATAGTTTATTATTCAAAATAAGTGTGTAATTCCGATAATCACGGTCAATTATAGTCTCCTAATTTTTGTAAATTTTTGAAATAAAAAAAAACGTCATCGAAATTTACAAATATTTCGGTACTTGATGTTGATGTTTATATAGTTAATCAAAAAGTATTAGCTACTCTTAAAAATCAAGCGGAGAATAAAAAAAAATACAATCTTTGCACGATTGTATTTTTTTTTATTCTCTTATTGATTGATCTTATTGATGTTTATAAATGTTTAAAAATATTTTCTATGACTGTAAAATTGGTGGTTTTTTGTTGTAATTACTGATGATCATAATAATATACTTCTATTTAGATTGCTTTTGTTTCTCTTGGTCATAATATAGAGCTCGTGTTTCCCATGTCTGCCTTTATTTAGATTTATTTCTAGTTAATTATTTCAAATTTCAAAATTATCACTAATTTTATTAATATCATTAATTATCATTGCCGCAAATTGCATAAAGATTTGTACCACATATGACATGTTCTGTTATTACTAATTAATAAATATTTAAATGATCGCAATACGTTCAGTTGTACATACTTAAAAATGAAAATAATTTATAATAACAATTAAAACTGTCATAAATAAGTTTATATGATTTTTACTCTAACCTAAACAATAGAGCATATTTTAATAAAATTCTAAACCAATTGATAGAAAAGAAAGTGAACTTCAAACGCGCACGTAATGTACGTTGCCTACGGCTGCTATAATGTATGGTTGTAACACGCTACAGACACAGAGATAACTACAGCTAAGTGTGTGAATCAAAATTTGAAACTGCCAGAATTGCGCCCTCGTCCATAGTTGCGTGGATACGCGTACCAGCTCGTACCTGTAATGTTAATGTATGTACATACATACATACTTGCGTCGGTGCGTGGTTGCCCCGTGTGCGCGCGCTCTGAACTGAACAAATGAAGTCGAACTCGAGTCTCGAATCGAAGGCGAGTCAAGTCGAGGAAAGGAAAGTACGATATAATAGTTGCATCGATCGTGCATGTACTCGTGCGTTGGTTAAGAGCAGCACAGTAGCAGTACCAGCTTTGCCCGTTAGACAGAGACAGGAACAGAGAGAGAGAGAGAGAGAGAGAGAGAGAGAGGGAGAGAGAAAAAGCGAAAGAGAGAAAGAGAGAGAGAGAAGTTGCGACTAGTGTGTCTCGGCAATCTCGGCCGAGCGTACAAAGCGTTTTGCAGTTGCGCTTCGTCAAGAGCTCGACCAACTGGTCACTCGCCAGACTTAATACTAGCCAGTGTTTGTGAACGAGTAAACAGTGTCCGCTTTTTAAAAATTACACATTCATACATAGGACGGAGAAAGAGAGGCAGATCCGAGAGTACGAGTAGTAGTTCTTTCTCCAAGTGTAACCGTAGCAAGCAAGAGAGGGAGACAAACGAGCTCTTGCGCGCGAGTGAAAGAGAGAGCTGACAGATTCGGCCCTTATTTGGGACGTAGAGCCGCTGCTTGCTGCGTTTTTCCGACAGTGTGCGCGCGTGCGTGAGTGTGTGTGCGCGCGCGAGGGAGAGGAAGAGCGAGCGAGAGAGAGAGCGAGCGCAGTCACGCAGCCTCTCCGCTTGTCTGTAATCCGTCTCGAGAAGACGTCGACGACGTCGACGACGACGACGACGACGACGAAGTCTGCCGTGGCGTCGAGGAAGAGCTAGCAGCGGCGGTCCGCGACGACGACTGCGCGTGTGAGTGCGAACGCAACACGGAGTGATCTCGCGACGCCCAGCGGCCCTTTGACCGAGCCAACAACAGCTCCAGCATGCAGCCCAGGATACGTGGCTGGGCCCTGCTGGCCTGTTGCATCAGCAGCTTTCTGTTGGTCTCGTGCAACGCTGCTAACGAGGTAGGTCCTTGTCATTCATCGAATTAAATATTTATGGCTGCAGCTATCCCTCTATAGCAGGTTAGGTCGGCTGTCGGATCAACGTCCGCCACCCACCTTTGCGCTACTATTTCAATATTTCAACTATGCATCCTATCTGCCGTACTCGGTTCGCCCTTTCTTATCTGTGCTCGATTTTACTTTGCTTCGCGTCTGCATCAACAGTGCATATTCGTAACGAACAGTCGTGTCGTCCGCTCGCATTCGCTGCCAGCATAGTCATCCAGCAGACGATGCAGAGCGTAGTCCCTTCTTACAGATTGACTGGGTGACTGGTTGTAAACGATAGGTCGTTTACAATACAAAAGTCGAGTAAGACTGGTGGTTGGGGGAACAAGTTAAAAGGCAATTCCGCGCTGGCACTCGTGCTCGTGGCTTCTCGGAAACGATCGGCATTGTTTAGCAATGGCAAGAAGAAAGAAGGGACGACGCCGAAAGGGAATCAAGGGAATAAAAGAATGGAAAGTAGCCGCGAGAGGAAACAGCGTGTGGCGTTGGAGGCGATGCCGAAATTGAGCGCGGCGGCTACACGGAGCAGCGAGCAAGAGAGAGAGAGGGAGGGAGAGAGAGAGAGAGAGAGAGAGAGAGAGAGAGAGAGAGAGAGAGAGAGAGAGAGAGAGAGAAGCGACGTCGGCGGCTGGAATGCCCAACTGGAATCCACAATGGCTGTGGAATCCGCTGGCTGCTGCTGCCGCCGCCGCCGCCGCCGCCGCCGCCGCGGCTCCCCTCGCGATCGCCGCGTCCGTATCGCCTCTCGCTCGCTCGCTTGTTCTCCTTCGATTCTTCCTCGAGCCTTCACTTTGTGTGCAGCGCATCGTTGGGGTTTCTCCTATACACCACCTGCCCCGTTCCAACTTGCATTATTTATGTAACATCAAAAATAAACATAGTATTAGGTAGCTTTCGATTTACCCCATTCAAATATTAAATTAGATTTATTTGTCCAGTTACAGTTTTTTCATAAAACATTAATAACAGTGATTTCTATTACTTAAGATTTTTAATATCTCTACCTTTTTCATTAACCTTCATTAACCGACATTTTTGATTCGAATAACTTTTCAAAAATTGCCCTCGAAACAATTTAATTTGATCAATTTAATAACATAAACAATGTTGAATAGTTTTCTCTTTAATTTATTGATCATGATTTTTTAAATTTACAAGATATTACAATTCCATAATAAAGAGAACTTGGTTTAACGACAAATAACGTTACTTTGTCATTGTCACCATTCTCTCATTTAAATATCAAAATATTCCTCAATCAACTGGCAAATTTTATTAGAAAACATAATAAACTGGTATTGTAGACACAACTTCAAACGGAAAATTTGCAGATATAATACCACCTACTTAAATGAAATCCTTTGAAAATATTGATATTATTAGAAATCATGATGAATAAAAGTTATTATTATAAAAATTATATTATCATTTTGGTAGTATGAATGTCGATTATTATATTTGAACTGATCACTTGAAAAGATTTATCATAGTATATGCAAATCAGTGAAATGACCGCAGAAATGAGATACCGACGAATATGATAGAGCTTGAGTGTGTTACGCATGCGCGGTGCGTGCATAATCGTAAAAATGAGTTGATCTGCTCGACAATAGTTAATAAATGTTTGAAAGCAAAAGCTACTAAATATTGTTTAGGTTCTTTAATCGAGTAAATAAAATCTGTGCATTGATTAACAAAAAGGACAGAGACGTTCGAAGCGTCGGTATAAATTTTGTATGAAAAAACTGTAAGGGGCCAAATGAATTTGGATTGATATTGGGATTGAGCAGATCGAAATCTGTCGCATAAAATTTGTGCGTTTGATGTTGCATAGGCCGTGCTCGGGTTGTGCGCCTCTGTGCTCTCGTTGCCTTTTCTGCATCTCCGGGTCTCGCGCTGCATGGCTGCTAGCCTACTCGAAGCGTGTCTCGCATGCCACACACGCGCACTCTCGCGCTGCCTGCCCCTCTTTTCCCGTCTTCTCCCTTGTTCTCCCTTCTCCCTTCTCCCTTCTTGTGCCGTCTAAACTCTCTTGTCTCTCTTGATGACGCGACTGTCGTCTTATGGGAACTTCCGCCGATTCCGGTCGAGCTAGTATTTTTTCCAAATGTCTTATCAGCCTTTAATTCCGCTATTTTCTGCATCTGTTCGTGCGCTTTTACCGCTTTTACCAGTATTTACTGAAAAACAATTGCAAAGGTTGTAGCAGCTCGATAACACGCCGAGCGACGGCGCTTGCAACTGTGCGCGCAATCCGCTGCTAAACCGCTGATGAAGCTTCAGCGGACATGGGTTTTTACTGTTCCATCAGTTTCGCGAAGTTTGTCCGATACGATGCTAGTTCTAAACCTTGACGGATTGACGTTTTTTACAAAATATTTTTTAACGGTTCAACAAGTGTACTAGCCGTTGTTAGAACAGAAATAGGTTGAAACCGATATCGATCAATGCCAGCATTCGATATTGACACAATGAACATCCGATACTTATTTCTAACGACAACATACTGGAAAAGCTGTGGTTATTGACCAGTTAAACGTTGTTCTGTGCATTTGTTGGACTTTTACATGAAAGCAATGCTGCTTTCATCGAATGATCGACGTCGAATCGCCCTCGTTTCCTTAAATTCCATTCGATCGCTCGAATAAATATTTGCACAGGTGTGAAATACTCCTGCAGCACGTGCCAAAAAGCAAGATTAAAAAGATAGCAGGACAATAAAGAATGGATTTTTATCCGTATTAGTCCGTCACTTGATGCCGATGGATATTCACAGACAGTCTACGTGTTTTCATCAACTTTTTTTGTCTTACTCGGCAGGTCAGACGACGGAGTGTTGCTACTTTGGCTCTTTCTTTATCTTTTTCTCTTGTTTCCTATCTTATTATTTTCTTTTCGAGCTTATCGTAACCTCCAACTGCAAAACCATGTCAGCTGATAGTTATTCTAGTTTTTATAAATTCAGCCATTCGCGCGCTTCAAATTCCGTTGGCACGTTGGTTTTTTCCCTCGTGACACTTTCACCCAGTCAGCAATATTTAGGCTGTTTACTTGACCTTTAGCTCGCCATCTATTTCACGCGTGACTCGCTCATTGGCTGTATCGAACTCGATTGAATTAAAAGCCAGTATAGCCGATAAAGTTTAGATTTTCTGAAAATTGCCTTCACTCGAGCGTTTCCCGTTTTATCAACAAGCCTAGTGAGAAAACGAAAAATGCACGGCGATAAGGCACAGGAAGAGGCGCCGATAAGGCATGACGTTTATTTTCGAGTGTTATTTCATACGCCGAACGCGTAAGCATCAGCTGACGAGCCCAAATGAGCGCTCTAGAAAGCATCGTTAGACGCGTTGCTTGCATCTCGAGGATAGGTGAGCCGTTGGCGTATTATTTAGCGGCAAGTTGCGCAACCGAAAGGCTTTGAATTGAGAGCTGAGCTGGCGAACGGCGCGGCTGCCAGACGAATCGACAGGGGCGGCAGTGGCTCGGCCGCGACGCAATTCAATGAGCCGATTGGCCACGCGTCGTCGAGAGTCGGCGAGAGTCGACGATGGCAAAGTTGCGCCGCCGCTTGCGAGCCGGCGATTGCACTGCATTGGCTGGGAGCTCGCGGAGGCGCGAGAAACTGTTCGTCCAGCCAGGATTGCTCGATGCTGCTTCGACGTTTTAATTGGATCCGAGGGCCCGTTGGCTAGCTGGCGGCCCGCGCGAGCCGAAAGCCACTGTCGGTCTGCGCTGCCTGCCGTGGCCTCATATTTTGGCGCACGTGCTCCTGGCCCGGTTCGATAAAGCTGACGAGCGTTGGAGCGCGCGCGGGGCATACCCAGCACTCCGTACGAGCGGAAGCGGAACAGATCGCGCTGCGGAGGTCGAGCAGCTGGTCCGCGCCAGAGCCGAAGGAAACGAGCTGAATTGCCAGCATTGAAAGGCCTCAATTGTCCCTTCAATTGGCCATTCGGATTTCACGTCGCTCTGCAGCTTCTCTCTGCTTTCGCGGAGCGCGCATTGATCCAGCTCGCTGTGCAGAGGCATCACGCGTGTACACGTTTAGGGCGTGTCCAAGGTCTGCAAGAAAGTGGGTCAACGGCGACGAGGCAACCTTGAAAAATGACGACGCCACGAGATTCAAAGTTCGACACTCGATGAGGGGCGGGGGGAGCGGTCTAGTGCAATTCATAATGGGCTAGTACTTTTTGAATACTTTTGGCCATTGTTCCTGTACAAGATCTTAGACGGTAACGGTGAAGAGCTTTCGTCGCCGCGACTGTCGACGCCCACCTTGACGTGCAAAGCACCAAGTGCTCTCGCTTTGTTCGGCCGTGGTCAATCGAGAGTCGCGCGTGGGGGAGGCTATTATCCGTGCGTCGGCATCTATGTATACTGCAACGATCGCACCCGCCAATCGGCTTCGCACGGCCTTTTTTCTTTGGCTGTTAACACGCGGCATCGAATCGGAGGCAGACGGAAGATTGCAGATTTCCTGTTGTCTATTGATTGCGGCAACGAGCCGTGATTTTTGTGTAACGACTGATACAGTCCCCCCCCCCTCTCTCTCTCTCTCTCTCTCTCTCTCTCTCTCTCTCTCTCTCTCTCTCTCTCTCTCTATTACGGACTCGGACTGGTCATCGACCAATTGTTAGTGCGCTCGAGGCTGCCCCTGGCTCTAGTTGGATCGCCTGCTTTCCCTAAGCTATACGGCTTCTCGCGACATCAACCGCTCGTCGCTTATCGTGTCGTTACGAGCTACCGGAAAGACCACTCGGTGCAGAGCGCGCGTCCGAGCGACTATAGCAACTGCCATACGTAAATCTTTTGATACTCTGGCTAGCCTCCACTGACGTGGCCTGCCACTTGTCGCCGGCGAAGCCTATAAGTACCTACTCGCTCGCTCCTATCCGCACTCCGTATATAATCTGCCGCCAGCCTCTTCCTCTTCTGACTCCACCCCCGCC